GCCCCTCATAATGGGCACAGCGGATGTACAGACCCGGGAACTCAGCACAGGGATGGGGGGAGCCCCTCATAATGGGCACAGCGGGTGTACAGACCCGGGAACTCAGCACAGGGATGGGGGGAGCCCCTCATAATGGGCACAGCAGGTGTACAGACCCGGGAACTCAGCACAGTAATGGTGGGAGCCCCTCATAATGGGCACAGCGGGTGTACAGACCCAAGAATTCAGCAAAGGGATGGTGGGAGCCCCTCATTATGAGCACAGCAGGTTTACAGACCCGGGAACTCAGCACAGGGATGGTTGTGGCCCCTCATAATGGGAACAGCGGGTGTACAGACCCGGGAACTCAGCACAGGAATGGTGGGAGCCCCTCATAATGGGCACAGCAGGTGTACAGACCCAGGAACTCAGCTCGGGGATGGTGGGAACCCCTCATAATGGGCACAGCCCAGGGACTCAGCACAGGGATAGTGGGAGCTCCTCATAATGGCACAGCAGGTGTTCAGGCCCGGAACTCAGCACAGGGATAATGGAAAGCCCTCATAATGGGCACAGTAGGTGAGAGGAACTCTCAGAAGAGACTCTCGGGGTTTTTTGCTCTCCAACATCTATGAAAAACAAAAAATACCAGTTTTAGTCGGACTGACACGTAAAATAAGCAATCTAGCTACAGTAAAACATGTTTAACCCTTGCTGCAGGCTTTCTTGTAGAAGTGATTCTACTGTAAAGTGCTTACCCCTTTCCCCCGTTATGTGTTCCGGGCTCACCTGTACCTCCTGGGTGTCCGGGACCTCCATGGTGTGTTTCAGGAGGGGCAATGGTAGTGAAATCCATTTGCTGATCTCCGTTGGGTAGAATAAACTTGGAAATATTCAGTTCTGAGCACATCTGGATTTATAAAGCACTTAATTAGCTTCAGCAGACTGCAGAGGTGACATTAGGGATCCAATAGACCCCTGATATCCCCTTAAAGAGAATCTGTCACCTGCGCTATGCTATCCTTTAGGGGGCTTATCAGTTGTGATAGCAATAAAGCTAATTTAAAAAAAGAAAAAAGATTTAATAAAATAAATAAAACTGCCAAAGCATTTTTAAAAGCTCCCGCATACAAGCACATATGAACATAAACGCATACCTCAGGTGCACATGCGTCTGAAAATTACAATTGTGCCACACGTGTTGGGTACCACTGCACACACTGTAGTAAGAGAGATAATTCTAGGACCATCATTCACTGATATCTCTGAACTGATGACCTGTAAAGGCTTTTCAAGTGTCACCGATAGACAATTTTGTGGTTTGTTTTTTTTCTTTAACCAACCAGCTTGGTGTGCCCGAAGCTTTCTCCCATGTATACAAACCTTTACTTACTGCGCCCCTTAGTGGATGCTTGAAGAATGATGAGAGAGTTGTACGGCTGTGATCACCACTCTCTGGTCCACACGGGTATTGTGTGCAATCTGCTGAAGACCATCAAACATTTGCTAAGTATTTAAAAAGGCTGCAGCATTTCTGGCAGGATCAACAGGTATCGTTCTGCCCTTGCTGAAAATGTTTAGCAGTTTGTTGCGTATGGGGCTGCGTAGTCACAGACCGATCAGGGTGCCCATACTGGCCTGTATCCAACAAAAGCGCCTACAATGGGCATGTGAGCATCAGAACTGGACCACGGCGCAATGGAAGAAGGTGGCCTGGTCTGATGTACATCATGCGGATGGTCGGGTGCGTGTGTGTCACCTGGGGAAGAGATGACACCAGGATGCACTATGGGAAGAAGAGAAGCCGGCGGAGGCAGTGTGATGCTTTGGGCAATGTTCTGCTGGGAAACCTCGGGTGCTGCCATATACAATATGTGGATGCCACCGACCTAGACATTGTTCCTGACCAAGTACCCCCCTTCATAGAAATTGTATTCCCTGATGGCAGTGGCCTCTTTCAGCAGGCTAATGCGCCCGGCCACACTGCACACATGGTTTGAGGAACACAACAACGAGTTTGAGGTGATGACTTGTCCTCCAAATTCTCCAGATCTCCATCCAATTGATCATCTGTGGGATGTTGTGAAAAAACAAGTCCGATCCATGGAGGCCGATCACCTCACAACTTACAGTACTTAAAGGATCTGCTTCTGACGGCTTGGTGCCAGACATCACAGCACACCTTCAGGGCTTTTCCCCATAGTTCTCCTTAGGGTAACGGGAGGACACAAAGTAGCGTCCTCCCGTCACCCTAAGCTCAGTATACCGCGAGCTACAGCCGGAGCGGATCCCGACATCGATATCGAGATCCGCCCAGCTGCGTGAGTGACAGCTGGCTCTGCCTATCTAGAGGCAGAGCCAGCTGTACCCTCCCCCGTCCGTTCCGCCTGTCAGCGCTGGCGGATCGGAGCGTGGAGAGGGGAATCCAGCCCCTCCCCTGTCACGGCAGAGAGCCGTGACAGGATCGAGAGGTGAGCGAACGCCGGTATGTGTTCGCTCACCTCCCGATCTACTGAGCCGACCTGTGACAGTCTCATTGTCACAGGTCGGCTAGAACTATGAGGTGAGTGAAAAGCACTCCCCTCATAGTTCTCCTTTAATTTTGTTTCCTGACTGATTAGCCACATGATATTACTCTCTCTGTAGATATTTATTTTCTCGCATCTTATTGGTGCGCTCATTTATTATTAAGTTCCAATACATACAATTTAAATGGTATGCTGACTACAGCACGTAAACAGCATGTGTAGGATTCCCCATGTATTGGATTCCTCTGCACAGCTGGAAGACAATTCTGACTTGTATGGAGTATTATTATACTGCAGGCACATTACTGTGCTATGAGCAGGGCTGCGGGTTACATGGCGGCATGTCTTGGCAACGCGGTGACCACTAACCAATCTTCCGCCACCTGACCTTCTTGGTGTGAGATTACCCTGTGTAGAAAAAGTCAAATTCAACATTTCTCGGCTTTTCCCATAAAAACATCTCTGCAAAGCTGCTGTAAGAAATTTCCTTTCCACTTTTGATTCAAGCAGAACATTTTTTTTTTTTAACGCCGCCTTAAACGGTCAAATCGATAAGCAATTTTTTTTTGGGCCATTTTTTACGCTTTGTGGCCCCCTAGTGTTGCGGTTGGCGATTTCCATACACAATGGTCTGGACGCAGTTGCGGGCTGCGTTGGAACTCTCGACAGAGTCTCTCCTATTCTGGAGTCTTGTGTACACAGAACAGGAGAGAAGTTGATTTATCCGAGTTAATAATTGAAAGTGGGAAATAAATGAGCGCTGCCGCTTAAGGGTTATTCAGTTTTAATGAGGTGCCGAAAGGACCATTTATATGACAAGTCTCAGATTAAAGAGAACCTGTCACCAACCTGAAACATGGCAGGTAAAAGCACAGAAAAATCAAGTCACTTACACCATTGCTTGCAGTGTTTTCTAAGGGAAACTACCATGGATTACAGTAAGGCGTACATTACACTATTGGTTTATGTTAAAAAATCTGAGGGTTTAATGTCACTTTAATCTTTTTTTTTTTATTCGCAATTGAACTTGCTAGATTTGAACATTGCTTAGTCAATTCCCTACCCCACCCTTTCTTTGCACATCATAGCCCTGGGAGTGTTTAATTGTTGTCTGTACTGGCCCAGCTCCTTTGCCCTTCCCCTTCCTATATAAACTTTTATGTACCTGTCAGGGAAGGAGTGAAAGGGAATTCTATATAGAGCAGGGGTGCTCACAATTTTTGTGTTAAGATCTACTTTTCAAATGACGAGCTACATGAGATCTACCAACGAAAAAAAACTCCCTCTCGCTATCTCTCCTAACTGTCTTTCCTCGCTCTGTCTCTCCTGGCTGTCATTCCTCGTTTTTCTCTCCTGGCTGCCTCTCTTCTTTCTCTTAACTGTCTCTCGTTGCTCTCTCTCCTAGCTCTCTCTCCCCTGGCTGTCTCTCCTCGCTCTCTCTCCCCTGGCTGTCTGTCCTCGCTCTCTCCTGTCTCTCTCTCCCCTGGCTGTCTCTCCTCGCTCTCTCATTGGCTGTCTCTCCTCGCTCTCTCTCCCCTGGCTGTCTCTCCTCGCTCTCTCTCCCCTGGCTGTCTCTCCTCGCTCTCTCCCCTGGCTGTCTCTCCTCGCTCTCTCCCCTGGCTGTCTCTCTTCGCCCTCTCTCCCCTGGCTGTCTCTCCTCGCTCTCTCATTGGCTGTCTCTCCTCGCCCTCTCTTGTCTCTCCTCGCTCTCTCTCCCCTGGCTGTCTCTCCTCGCTCTCTCCTGTCTCTCCTCGCTCTCTCTCCCCTGGCTGTCTCTCCTCGCTCTCTCATTGGCTGTCTCTCCTCGCCCTCCCTCCCCGCTCTCTCCCCTGGCTCACCTTGCTGTATCTTGCAACAGGCTGTGTAAACTAATATTCTTTGATGTAATACATAGCAATTCAACCCCCAGTATCCACCAGAAAGGTGTCGGGGAGCTCGGCACAGCAGACTCGGGCTAATAGGTAATCATGTGTGCACAGCTAAATAAATATACCAAAATGGAATAAAGGGGCCGCCATTCACACCCTTCCCGATCTACCAGCATCAGCTCTGAGAGCTACAGGTAGATCACCATCTACCTAATGGGCACCCCTGATATAGAGTGTCACTTGAGTCTGCTGATGTCATATCCAACCTAACAGCACTCTCAGGGCACAAGGGAGGCTTTAACAGACCCAAATGCTCATATAATCCTAAAGAAGAACTCTGGTAAAAAATGTTCTTAACCATTGCAGTGGGGCTACCCCCTGCACTTTTTTTGGGGAGGGGGGTGCAGTTGGGTAGGGCCTTATTCTGCTGTTTGCTGGATAGAGCACATGCTTATACCCTATACCTGGACATTGTGGGAAATGAAAGTATTCATTTCTCTTTTACTTTTTTATTCAAATGTTAATTTTCCGTAGCGTGTAAGATCCTTAATAAGTTCCTGGCAAGACTTTTTTTTCTTTCAGATAGCTTTTAATGACTGATGATGTCATTGATTGAGTGCTCCAGTTAGTACAGACGTTACACATGCAAGAACTTCACATGCAGCCATAACAGAACAACGCGATTAACAAACGCGGTCGAAAACAAAACTTTTCTCAATGAGGTATCTTTTGACTCAAATAGCCGTTGCCTGTGGGGTCTCCACCGGCTTCAACGAGTCAGAGAAGTCACTTTGGCTCTTCTTCCCCTCCACCATGCGACAGGGCTTCTGCATACCAAGGATTTCCCTCACCGTGTCGCGAAACCGGCGACTCACGAAACAGTACAGGAAGAAGTTGACGGCTGTGTTCAGAAGGGCCAACATATTCCCAACATCCAAGGCTAGGTGGACCCTCCAGTCCCCGTGGACCGAAGACACGTACATGTGAATGATGATGGCGATGGTCCTGGGAGCCCAGAGGACGGCAAAGACGGTTGTGATGCTCATAAGGATGGCCGTGGTCTTGCCAATGCGGACCTTGTACCTCTTCAATGCCGACTTCCTTCTGAGCCTCAGAATGATGACCGTGTTAGTGAGGAGGAAGATGGTACATGGGATGAAATAAATGATAAAGCAGTGGACCCACTTGAGGAATTGGTCCAACAATCCCGGAGCTCGAGGGTCCCTCCAAACATCGCTCCACCAGTAGAACGGGATCCCGGTCAGGAAAGATGCGAGAAACACGGTCATAATGATTTTGCGCGTGCGTTCTGGGTAGGAAAGGGAGCGATAATGCAGCGGGTGACACAGAGCTACATATCGGTCAACCGTAAGGATGACCGTGATCCAGATGGAGGCGTGGTTGGATGAAAACTCAAGGACACTGACCATGTGGATGAAGGCATTCGGCACCTTGCGATGGAGGATGGCCGTCTGCAGGATGAAGCCTACAAAGATGATAAAGATCTGGGTCAGGATGTCGGAGGTGGTGAGGGCCAGGAGGTAGCAGTAGGATGACTTCTTGGTTCTTGATGCCAACTTTGAGAGGGCCACAGCTGTCAAGATGTTGACTGTTGGAAGGAAACAAAAGGCCAATAAGTTCACTGTACATGCTTATGAGCCTCGTTTGCAATAAAGAGAACCTGTCAGCATATAAATATGGAAACTGATATTGCTGCCTAGTTTTTTAGGGGATTGGATCCTAATCTTTGTTGCATAAATTCTGACCCGGGATGATTAAACTGTCAGGGCGGAGTCTGGCCACCTGATATGCACATAGTTGTCTTAGACCCACTAAGTAATACAGGAAGGATGAGTTGAGCCGCCCAGGAGCATGCACCCCCCTCAAAAAAACATTCAGCAATGCCAGCTATCATATTTCTATCCTGACAACCGTTATGGAAATTCCATCTTTTGGATGCCACCCGAATTACATTAGGCTGAACATGGATGGAAAAGACCCCTGGGGTTATGATAGGTTCCTAGAGCAAACCTCTGACAGTTTCATGTTGTGGGAAGTATATTGCCAGTAGGCAGTTTACTCATGATCACAGTTTCAAGTGCATTTCTGGGCACAAATACATTTTAAAAACCCCATGTCTATAGATCTTGTAATACATGCACATTTCCTAAATTCTGTCCTCTCAAAATTCTGAAGTACAGAACTGTTGAGCCCACCAAAAATCAAGTCAGCCCCTGAATTCATGTATTGAGCTGTCACAGACACATTGGATTCCCAAACAGTGTTTTCAGCCCTGCCCAGTTCATGTCTGTGAATTACATAACACTCTCCCGCCTATGGAGCTGGGTAGGTGTTCTGTAGTCTTAACACACTTTGTGTCATAAGGTGACAACACGGCTCCTCTATAGATTCAGCACAGTGAATTAGCATTGTTACAATAGGACAGGAAGTGTGTTATGGGCAGGATCCCCAGGTGGAAAATGCCACAAAAAAATACAAAAGCAGCCACCATCTCAGAACTGGAAAACTGCATTATAATACATTTTGGGTGCTTATTTCAGATGATTGCAAAATGAGCAGTGTGGTCTAGCAGTGGGAAAAGCAAACAGTATTGTAGAGGGATCTCCAGCAGGAGGAAGGAGGTCCTGATTCCTCTATATAGATCTTTATCACTAGAGGGATCTCCAGCAGGAGGAAGGAGGTCCTGCTCCCTCTATATAGATCTTTATCACTAGAGGGATCTCCAGCAGGAGGAAGGAGGTCCTGCTCCCTCTATATAGATCTTTATCACTAGAGGGATCTCCAGCAGGAGGAAGGAGGTCCTGCTCCCTCTATATAGATCTTTATCACTAGAGGGATCTCCAGCAGGAGGAAGGAGGTCCTGCTCCCTCTATATAGATCTTTATCACTAGAGGGATCTCCAGCAGGAGGAAGGAGGTCCTGCTCCCTCTATATAGATCTTTATCACTAGAGGGATCTCCAGCAGGAGGAAGGAGGTCCTGCTCCCTCTATATAGATCTTTATTATCACTCGAGGGATCTCCAACAGGAGGAAGGAGGTTCTGATCCCTCTACATAGATCTTTATTATCACTAGAGGGGTCCCCAGCAGGAGGAAGGAGGTCCTGATTCCCCTATATAGATCTTTATCATCACTAGAGGGATCTCCAGCAGGAGGAAGGAGGTTCTGATCCCACTTTATAGATCTTTATCATCACTAGAGGGTTCCCCAGCAGGAGAAGGAGGTCCTGATTCCTCTATATAGATATTTATTATCACTCGAGGGGTCCCCAGCAGGAGGAAGGAGGTCCTGATCCCTCTATATAGATCATTATTATCACTAGAGGGATCCCCAGCAGGAGGAAGGAGGTCCTGATCCCTCTATATAGATCTTTAGTTAGACCTCATTTAGAATACTGTTTTCTGGAGACCTCGCTTGATACTGATAACACAGAACAAGTCCAGAGGCGGGTTACAAAAACAGTGAAAGGTCTGAAGGATAAAACATATCGGGAGAGAGTGTAGGAACCTAATCTGTACAGTTCGGAGGAAACAAAGGGAAAGGATGGACATGGCTGAAACCTTTAGATACATGAAGGGTGTGAATATGGTTCAGGAATGCAAGATATTGAATATGAAGTTAGGATCAAGAACACGGTGACATGACCTCACACTAGCAGGAGGAAAGTTCAGAAAGTATTATTTTACTGAATGAGTAGTTAAAACTTGGAACAGACTTCCAGTGTAGACAGAGACAACCAAAGATCTATAATCAGACAAAAAGGTTAGAAAAAGGACAAAAACAATAGCGTGGCCGACTGGATGGACCACTTGGTATTTTTCTGCCGTCGCTCTCCTATGTTTCTACATTTTTGTTCTTGGCTTTAGATACACTTTAAACACGTGTGAGGAAGCAGCTACAGATCACATTAAGACGTCATTTCGGACTTAGGAAACAGACGTGCACATTTCAGAGTACAGCAACTAAGCAGCGCCGGGGACACTAGTATTGGCTGCAACAGCTGGAGATGACACGCAGCCAATTAGTGTAAGATGTATGTGTGTGTCCAGGCAGTAACATCAACTACTCTTCTCCGGCTGTCCTCCGCCATGTCCTCCGAATGAAAAAATTACTCACGCTGCGCTGACATAGACCAGCTCTCCGCTCAGTGCTCCAAGTCACGTCTGCTTGTATTCACTATGGAGATGCAGCTATGGCACAATCTCGATGTTCCCTATAAGCAAACACACACACACTGATAACCCCATGTGCAACGCTAGGTGCCGGCCGGAGGAGGGTAAGCAATGTATGGCCGCGGGCCAGCAGGCACGTCTACATGTGTCCTAATTCTCCAGAAGAACGCGAATGCACAATGATTATCTCAAGGTTTTGTAGGCGCTTTCAATGAGTGTGGTGCCTATTGTGTTCAGCGGCACTTGTTGGGCAATGAAGAAACCTGTTGGTCCTAACAAAATGGAATAATCTGTAAGAAAGAACCGGCATTCGGCTCGACTATTCGGCTCGCTACCTCGGAGGCATTCGCCTATCCACTCACTGCCGTTCGGCCCCCTATGAGAATGGGGGGCGAACGACTGCGAGTGAGCTGCCGGAGCTTCGGCTCAGCTGATCCAGATGTTGGATCGGCCGAGTCGAACTCCTTCTGCACTTTGGCTCAGCCGATGTACAGCTGATTCTAGCCGAACTAAGCCTGAAATCAGCTGTACAAGGCTGAAGTGAATAGCCGAACAGCGTTCGGCTCACTTCACTTCGGCTCGGTTATTCACTCGGCGGCTAAGTGAATAACCCCTCCTTGGTATTTTATGTAAAATCGGGATTGTATCATTTTAGCTCCTATGAATTTTTTGAAGCTATTGAGATTTGTTGATCAATTTAGAGGCTATTGGTTCACAGACATTATCGGTTGGCCCCCGCTGTCCATTCATACGTGTTTTAGTCTCAATGGCACCTCAACGCATCTTCCAATGGACCACGCGCCACTTTTTTTTTTTTTTTTAAGCAATAATTTTTTTTTTCTGAACCTTAATGGTCATATCAGGGGGCCAGGCGGATGTGTCTAGGGATTGAACGGGCGGTTATAGTAAAAGTTCACTTTTGTGTAAATTGATGGTCAAGCCAGAGAATGAGCCATAGTGAGAGATGTGTTGCATTATTTTGGGGATCTGGGCTGAGGGGTCTGCCACTTTTTTTTACTGCGCGGCCGCCGTTGTATGGACCCCGCCGATCGCGGCACCTGAATGATACAATGTGCCGTTTGGCCTTTTGTAACTGCATTATGTGAGTAAAGTGCATCAGCCGGAGGAGCGCGTCTTTCTACTTGTGACGTAACAAGACAATAAAGCTTCGCGTGTCGGCGCCCCGGGCCTGTGCTGTTCTTATACCTCTTCCAGCTCGGCTAAATGGATTTGCTCTTCTGATCGTCTGTCATGACGATGTCATCATTGGGTTTAAAGTAAGGTATGCAATGATTGGGGGGCGGGGAAGGCAAAGTATAAGCAGATCAAACTTCAGCTTTAAATATTCTATTGAAAGAGTTTTGGTTGTATCTGTTCTCCCAGAAATCCAGTGAGCTGATACCTTCTTGTGCTCTCTGCCGGTGCTGTCTCTTATCGGTTACATTGTTCCCAGCTGTCTCTATGGGCTACAAATTGCCTCCCTTCTAGGTTATGGAGAACAGGATGGAGGACACTTCCTGTCCTAGGGTGACATTACTGCTCCTCCAAAGATACAGTACGATAAGTGTTGTCACCCTAAGACAGGAAGTGTGTAATGCTTTAAAGAAAATCTGAAACCCAGTCACTAAAATCTCATTTAAACTAGGGATGCACCGATACCAGTTATTCGATATCGAGTACCGATATATTTTTTTTCCGGTACTCGCCGATACCGAAAGTTCCATTAAAGGAGAACTATGGGGTCAGGGGTTTTCCCCATAGTTCTCCTTAGGGTAACGGGAGGACACAAACTAGCGTCCTCCCGTCACCCAAGTTTAAGGAAGCTGGGCGGCGTGTAATGGAAAGCTGTCTCCATGCTTCTCGTCACTAGATGACGAGAAGACATGGAGCCGGCTTTCTGGCCAATCATGAAGCCTGATTGGCCAGGAAGCTGGCTCCTGCTCCCTCGTCACCTCGTGAAGCCGGCTTCCCGGCCAATTAGAGAGTCGGGCGCCGCGTCATTACTGGGCGCCTGGCTTCCTGATTGGCCAGCTTCCCGACCAATCAGGAAAATGGGCAGCGAGTCATTACACGCTGCCTGGCTTCCTAATTGGCCGGGAAGCCGGCTCCATGCTCATGGAGCCGGCTTCCCGGCCAATCAGGAAGCTGGGCAGCATGTAATGACTCGCTGCCTGTCTTCCTGATACCGGAAGCTCGGGTATCGTGCTAGGCATTGGAACATTTGGGCGAGTACGAGTACTCACCGATACCAATGCCGACTATTTGGGCAAGTACTCGTACTCGCCCAAATGTTCCAATGCCTAGCCAGATACCCCAGCTTCCGGTATCAGTGCATCCCTAATATAAACTTTGTAATACAGTTTCAGAAATTCTTTTTATGCTTTTAAAATATGCAGCTCACATTAACATAGTTCCTGGTGATCCTGCCATGAAAGTCCCTGTTCAGGCACTTCCTGTTATAGAGTGGCAACTGTCCTCCTGGTGTTTTCACCCTGTCACATGCTCCCCTGGTGGCCGCACCAACACACATTATAAAGGCACGTTCTGCCGTTGTCACTATCAGGAAGCCGGTACAGAGCAATGACGTGCAGCCAACGCTGAAGCAGGTGCACAAAGACAGGAAGTGGCTGAAGGAGGCTGCGGGAGATCAGCAGCACTGAGATGGGAAAAAAAGGCAGTACAAAAAACAGTGTTTTTTTTTACATTTAAAAAAAAAGACAATTGTTTATGATACGCCGTGATTTATATAACGAAATGCCATCCAAGTACAGGTTATAGTTACTTTATCTTGCAATTTTCTATGTTTTCATTCTTACAATAATTTTTTTTCTAGTACAACAAAGGCCGAATAGCAGGTAAGTTTTAAGATAATGTCAGTTATTTCTAATAAAAATATATAATTAAAATAAAAGGGGGCTTGATGTAAATGTTTTAATTTATTCATTTTCTCAACGGGCACTTTAAACCAATTGTAAAAACTGATTACACTGTAATGACTCATAATGCGTGCTGGTTGCATTTGCGGCGTCCCTTCCCCTTTAAGATCCGCCATTTTTTCCTTTCCTTGATATTCCATTACTCATGCACGGGACGTCATGCAGTTACTGAATTTTTCATGCATGACCCTCGTGCTCATTAAATTCAGACGGGAGGTTAAATATCCCCTATTGCCCCTTTTTATGGGGGGGGGTTAACAACGCTCCGGCAGCTGATCCGTGCTTCCTGCGCAAAGTGGCAGATAATCCGCCTGGTTGATGCCGTGAGACGTTTTACACGCATTTAATAACGGAATTAGGATGTAATGTGATAATTAGCAGGTGTCCCCGCGTAATTAGCCTCGCGGCCGTCAGCCCGGGTTGCCTGGGTGATGGCCCTCCGGGTACCTCATGTCTATTTGCACCCCGCCTTTCTCGCGTACCCAAACAAAATGAGATACAAAGACGGCCAGAGATGAGCAGATCAATCTGATTGGTTTAACGCCAAAACTCCGGGCAGATATAAAATATATCAATTAATGCAGCTCTGTAATCATTAAAGGAGAACTATGAGGAGAGTGATTTTCACTCAACCTCATAGTTCGAGCCGACCTGCGACAATGAAACTGTCACACGTCAGCTCAATAGATCGGGAAGTGAGCGAACACATACCGTTGCTCGCTCACCTCCCTGCAGAAAGCGCAGACCGTCACTCACGGCTCCCCGCAGGGATTCCCATCCCCTCCGATCCTCCAGCGCTGACTGGCGGAACGGACGGGGGAGGGGGGCGGGTACCGCTGGCTCTGCCTCTAGATAGGCAGAGCCAGCTGTCAATGATGCAGCTGGGCAGATCTCTACAGTAATGTCAGGATCCGTCCCGGCTGCGGCGGGATCAGTATACCGCGAGCTGTAGCTCCCTATATACTGAGCTTAGGGTGACGGGAGGATGCTAGTTTGTGTCCTCCCCTGACCCTTAGGAGAACTATGGGGAAAAACACTTACCCCATAGTTCTCCTTTAATACATCATTAAATATGTTGATTAAGTACAAGCAGTGTATGTACATGTATGTGACCCGGTATCAGCCTTTTGTACAGCAAGACTGCGGTGTGAGAGGAAGAAGCAGCACAACGAGCCAATCAAATGGCAGTCAGCCAATCAGACAGAGATGTGGCACTCATCAGTGCACTGCTTCTTTTTTTCACTGTTCAGTTACAGGCTAGGGGCGGGTCCAGGATGACCTGGACTCAGATAAAGTGGGATGAATGATGCTGGCCATCAGACTGAGGGCATCTAGTGGCAGAGAAAAAGTACTGCGAGGGAAATCTCTGGATTGAAGGTGAATATTGCAGCAAACGCTGGTTTTGTTTTTCTTTATCTTTTAATAGACTTATTTGTATCTTGTTATATGTGGCTGGAGTTCTGCTTTGAGGTTCGACCCAGAACAGGGTCGTCCGCGGGTAGTAATTGCGACTGGAGACCATTCCCAGGATTTTCTTTTTGTATCCGTTTACTTTGACAGTTTCTGTTATTTTATGGTAACACGTACCTGGTAAACCCAGTCCAAGCAGGACGCTGTAATAAATCACCGGGATGTAGCCCAGCACACACGGAGAGGGGTCCGTGCGTCCTCCTTCCTCCTCGGCCTCCAGAGGCGGGGTGTCACTGGCGTTCTGTAGAAGAATCATTATCTGCCGACATCAGTGCAGCTGCTGTGGAGAGGAACGAAGAAAGTCAATCTTAAGCCGAAACATATTCTTTAGAAAGTCAGAGAGTGAAAATTCGACTGCTCCCCCGCATTGGTATTAGCTGGAAAAGTGACCTCTTACATGGGAGGTCAGTGAAGTTCACCCTTACATGGGAGGTCAGTGAAGTTCACCCTTACATGGGAGCTCAGTGAAGTCCACCCTTACATGGGAGATCAGTGAAGTTCACCCTTACATGGGAGGTCAGTGAAGTTCACCCTTACATGGGAGGTCAGTGAAGTTCACCCTCTCTACATTGGTCAATGAGTAGATGTTCCCTAATTGAGATCAGTGAAGTTCACCCTTACATGGGAGGTCAGTGAAGTTCACCCTTACATGGGAGATCAGTGAAGTTCACCCTTACATGGGAGGTCAGTGAAGTTCACCCTTACATGGGAGGTCAGTGGGAAGAAGGTCCTCTACATTGGTGGATGAGTAGATGTTCCCTAATTGAGTGGTGCTGAGTTAAGGGTCCTAATATACTGGTGGACAGTGGGACGAATCCCCTCCTTATATTGATGGTCATTGTGGAGAATGTCTCTTACGTTGGTGGTTAACGTAGAACTTCCCCCTTTCAGTGGTGTTCAGTTATGGATCCTCGTATACTGGTGGTCAGTTATGGATCCTCGTATACTGGTGGTCAGTTATGGATCCTAGTATACTGGTGGTCAGTTATGGATCCTAGTATACTGGTGGTCAGCACCTTACATTGATGGTCACTGTGGAGAATGCCCCTTACACTGGGAAGAATGTTGCTAAAATTGATGGTCGCTGTGGAGAATGTCCCTTACATTGGTGGTCAGTGTAGAAGTCCCCCCTTTCAGTGGTGGTCAGTTATGGATCCCGGTATACTGGTGGTCAGCACCTTACATTGATGGTCGCTGTGGAGAATGTCCCTTACATTGGTGGTTAGTGTAGAAGTCCCCCCTTTCAGTGGTGGTCAGTTATGGATCCCGGTATACTGGTGGTCAGCACCTTACATTGATGGTCACTGTGGAGAACGCCCCTTATACTGGTGGTCAGCAGGAAAAATGCTCCTTACATTGGTGGTCAGTGGCTAGAATGCTCCTTGCATTGGTGGTCATTGTGGAGAATGTACCTAACATTGGTGGTCAGTGGCTAGAATGCTCCATACATTGGTGGTTAGTGTAGAAGTCCCCCCTTTTAATTGTGGTCAGCCTGCTCCTTACATTCTAGTGAGGAGAATGCTCCTTACATTGATGGTCATTGGGGAGAATGCTCCTTAGGCTCGGTTCACACCTAGGTGATTGAGCGGATGAGCTGTTGTCACGCATTTTTTTTTTGTGTGATTTTGCTTTGAAAACTGCACAGAAAATACCTCCTGCACCTTTTTGCGTGGCGGGCGATTTTGGCTGTGCGACGCATTGCAAAGGTGTGAACAGGCCCCACTGACTTCATTGGGAATCTGTGTTTTGCACATTATAGTGCAGCTAAATCCGCCCAATAAATCTCCTAGGTGTGAACCTAGCCTTGCACTGGTGATCAGTGTAGAAGTTCCCCTTTCAATGGTGGTCAGTTATGGGCCCTAGTACACTGGTGGTCAGTTATGGGCCCTAGTACACTGGTGGTCAGTTATGGGCCCTAGTACACTGGTGGTCAGTTATGGGCCCTAGTACACTGGTGGTCAGTTATGGGTCCTAGTACACTGGTGGTCAGCATTTCCCTTGCATTCAGTGCGGAGACTGCCCGCATTAGAGATACCTGAAAAGATCATCGGTATTAGGGGTAGCTTATCTAAGAGGGGGGCATTTTTCTATTGCTCAATGTACTCTTAGCAACTGCTGGAGGACCCTGGTTGAGAAAAGCTGCTCTGGAAGATACACAATACCCCACCAATGTCACAAGAGACAGTCCAGTTTAGTAGCCCTGTGAAAAGCATTGAAAGCCATGTGTAAGTGCAACACTTACCGATTGGTATTAGGTATTACCTCTCCAAGAGATGACTGCCCCCCTTTCCCCCTCGACAATGCCTGCCCTTCTCTCCCGAAGGACCAAGCCATCCTCTGATACCACCCAGGGCCACCATCTACTTACAGGCATGCAAATCCTGATTTCTGTTCTTGGCTGTGTTCACAAAAAGTCTGGCACACGTCTTGCAGCCTCACACCTTGTGACTTGATACAATGTTACAATGTTGCATTCTATGTGATGACTGGTGGAGAGGAGATGGAGGACAAGTGTCTGAGATCCATCTTAAAGGAGAACTATGAGATGAGTGATTTCCACTCACCTCATAGTTCTAAGCCGACCTGTGACAATGAGCCTGTCACAGGTCGGCTCAGTAGATCGGGAAGTGAGCGAACACATACCGGGTTCGCTCACCTCTCGATCCTGTCACGGCTCTTTGCCGTGACAGGGGGAGGGGCTGGATTCCCCTCTCCCAGCTCCGATCTGCCAGCGCTGACTGGCGGAACGGACGGGGGAGGGGGCGGGTACAGCTGGCTCTGCCTCTAGATAGGCAGAGCCAGCTGTCACGCTGTCACTCACGCAGCTGGGCGGATCCCGTCATCTAAGTCGGGATCCGCTCCAGGTGCGGCGTCTCAGTATACCGCGAGCTGTAGCTCGCGGTATACTGAGCTTAGGGTAACGGGAGGACGCTAGTTTGTGTCCTCCCGTTACCCCAAGGAGAATTATGGGGAAAATCACTGACCCCATAGTTCTCCTTTAAAGTGACATTAAACCCTCAGATTTTTTAACATAAAACAATACTGTAATGTGCGCCTTCCTGTAATCCATGGTAGTTTCCCTTCTCTTTGCTGCTCTTCCTTTTAAATCCTCATGTCTTCTCATGCTTGGGGAGAACTTCTGTTTTGCAGCAGACTGCCTTGTCTCTGGAATGGATACACGGTGTCTGTGTGAAGGTTCACAACCTGAGTCAGCACTACAGGAAGAGGCCCTGAGCTGCAAAGGGAAGTTCTCCCCAAGCATGAGAAGAGATACAGTTTTAAAAGGAAGAGCAGCAAAGAGAAGGGAAACTATCATGGATTACAGTAAGGCGCACATTACAGTATTGTTTAAAAAAAAAAAAATCTGAGGGTTTAATGTCACTTTAAAGCTGAACTCCAGACCAACAGCTGAATACGGATAGAACACATACATGGGGGGCTGATAAACCTGCCAAAGGATTTTGTATTTCTGCCCATCCTATCCTGAGATGTGCACAACTCTGCCACATTGTGACATGTCAGGAATGTATTATTGTACAGTACAGGATAGGTCCTCTTCACGTTACCTTGGAAAAGTTGAGGTTTGGAGACGGAGTCACATCTTGATTTCTTGACTGGTATAAATTTCCTGAAAATAAAAATAAGGAATTCTGTTTAGTTTTCACTCTCAGAGTGAGAATAGTTTTCCCATTATACGTCCCCCCCCCCTCTGCGCTTCCCCAAATACGGGTGAGATGGAGCCCTCCACAGGTGGCACAGGGTGTGTTTGCACTTCCTATTTGTGCCATCAGCACAGGGATGGTGGGAACCCTTCATAATGGGCAGAGCAGGTATACAGACCCGGGAACTCAGCACAGGGATGGAGGGAGCCCCTCATAATGGGCACAGCGGCTGTACAGACCCGGGAACTCAGCACAGGGATGGTGGGAGCCCCTCATAATGGGCACACAGCGGGTGTACAGACCCGGGAACTCAGCACAGGGATGGTGGGAACCCCTCATAATGGGCACAGCAGGTGTACAGACCCGGGAACTCAGCACAGTGACGGTGGGGGCCCCTCATAATGGGCACAGCAGGTGTACAGACCCGGGAACTCAGCACAGGGATGGCGGGTTTATCACATTCAGCAGAATGACGGATGATGGGAAAGTTGTACGTTGTGTCTGTATATGAAGGTCTTCTGCTGGGAGATGATGCTCCGGCATTGAGCGCTCCTGGCCCGCAGTGGATCAGCCTTCTGATAGCGGCAGCATTTGTTGCAGCATGTGGCGGGCGGCGGGGAGGAAGCGGTTAATCCCGCCGCGCTCGGTCGGCTGATTTCATTAAAACTAAAGACAAATTATAATCGATCGCTCGAAGTAAATAAAGACATTAGCGATCATTGACGTTGTTAATATGCGTGCGTTCTGCCTCTCCGCTTCCAGGAGCGGCCCACGGGGACAAATAAATGAAATATATTTCATGTTCTGCAAGTGTGATCAGAGCTCGGGGAAGCGTTAACCCCCCCTCGTGCGCAGCGCAGCTACAAAGACGCGCGGTACCGCGAAGGCGGCGGGCGTTGGGCGCCTCTGCGTGCTTCTTAAAGGGAAAGCGTTAATCTTTCTCAGTGAGTTCCTCTTTTCAATGGCTGAAATCGGCTTTTGGCTTCATTACAGCGGCTGTGTTTTTGTGCTCGTATTTCACACTTTGGAGCTTACGTGCTGGCGGCGGCGAGAAAATTAATTACAGGGTAAACCAATCATAGAGAGTATTTTTTTCCCCACTAAATGACTATGGACAGAGTTCGGTGTGTAGGACTAAAAATGAGGATGCCTCTGTGTAAAGCACTAGAGGGTCAGGCAGTGCTAGGACAAG